GGAGCTCTCCATCTTAGCAAACACTCTATTTAATGCACAGCTGGGCACAGCTGTTGCAAGGGAAAGCATGGCACTTTTGTCTCCCTTCCTACTCTTCCCAACTTTCTGAGAAAAGCTAGTCAAGGTAAGGTGGAAGTAGTAACATTGCAAAATGCACACAATTACTATAGTAGGCCTTTGCTGGCCTAAATGCTTTTTTTTTTTTAATGTTGCATGTGTTAGTCCTGTTATTAAGCACTGGAAAAACCCTTCTTAGATTCTTCTGTTGAGCCAAAATCCATTATTTTTTGGTGGCACTGTGTATGTTGCAGGATGTCATAGATGCCTATCATCTCACTTTTAGAAAGGGCTCCATGTTGGCACCCACGGCTGGCAATGGATCCTTTCTTATAAACAGTATTGCTTCCTATCCCTGAGTTGAAGTTGGGATTTGTGGTTTGTTTTTTTTTTTGGTAGAGGTGAAGGAGGGGAGGGAACGAACATGTTTGTTTACTTGTTGATGGTGGGGGCCGGGGGGGAGAGGCATTTACCAAGCACCTCTCTGAACTATGTACGTAATCGTTCAGTGGATGCGTTCCTCATTCCTGAGGAAGTCTTGTCAACCTATGATCTACTTGGAGGGTCTTCCCTGAGACCTTGCAGATGCAGGGGGGAATTCATTCTGTTTTGTGGTATTTATTTCTTCTGTTTCTGGACTGATTGCACGCAAAATAAGATGAACATTGTGCGCTGTATCAATTTCTCTGTTGCTTTTCCCAGACCATGCATGAACTCTGCTTTCCCTCCCAAAAAGAGCATTTAATTTTGTGGATGCTCAGTGTGTAGGAGTTGAGAGTTCTCCTGCCCTGGTTCCCATGGGCGTTCAGCATGTTTCAGCAGCAGTCTGGTCTGTGGGCTGCCACAAAACCAAGCCTCGTCTTCTAGACCCGTGAAGGCCTGCTCTGAACTCAGCTATAAGCAAGCGCCTCCCATCCTCCTAAGCTGGTCAGATATTATGCTTTTATAAAATTGCAGTCTTCCTAAGCTATTTGGTGGGATCTTCCACTTCTGAGGTACCAAGTATTGAATACCACACAACTGCCTCATTGCCTCTCCACCTTCAACCAGCTGCATATAACACCGCCAGATAGACCCGCCCTCCTGTTTTTTTCTCATTTTTCATTTAATTTGGCCTATTTCATAGCCAGGTTTGCTCTGGCAACGTTAAGGGGGGCTCTAAGGTGGATGTAAACTGTATACGGGATTTGACAGGCGAGTATTTTGCTTCCTTCCTTCCCGTTTGGTGGCACCCTAACGCTGCATGCCCTTCCTAGGATAAGAGACAAATCTGCGTCCAGAGGCCTTACAGCTGAGTAATTTTCCCTTCCTGAAAATGTGTGCACTGTAAAACAAACCATTACCTCCATCCTGAAAAAGCCATCTCGCAGAGCTAGCACCTGCTGTTAATTCATAGTAAACAGTACTTGTTGCTCCAGAACGCTTTTTAATCATAATATTAAAAACTAAACAGAAACCCCATCCGTACAGTTAACTCCAGCTGCCTTTCTTACAATGCGTCGTGACTGATCTTGCTGAGTGATGGGCATCCAAATGCAAATGGGATTAGCTTTGCAGCCATCCGTTTGAAATTGCTCTTGAATCATTCTGAAGCAAATTCCATTTGAGAAGAATTTCCTTCAGGTCTCACACAAAGAGATAATGGTCCAATATATTATGATATAAGCAATAATAGTTTAAGTCTCGCAGCTCAGGAATATGGTGAGTTATATGCTGGGTTGATGAGAATTAAAGCTTGATACATAGTAATAAAACTAGTGATCTAGAGATGAATAAATTGGTGTACGGAGCACAATATTTTCCTGCCACGGATTAGAGCTGGGATACTGGTCCATAAAAAGTGAAGTATACCATAAAATCTCCTTTTTCACTTGTTATGCATGAAGAGTTGTAATATATACAGTTTTACAAACAAAAGCATGGGAAGAATAAAGACCTTTCTTAAAATCAAAAGGGTCTTGGCTTAGGCAAAGATTTCTTTTACGTTAAGTGAAAATTAAGCTATAATGTTTATATATGACATTCCATGCCGGATATTACCGATGCTGGTTTCAGGGACACTTCACCTGTTCCCATAGGGTTTATATTTGACTTGCATTGTAAAAAAATGCAGTGGTAGGATGCTGCAGAAGGCAAATAAGCGAGCATGTCTAAATTCAGGCCAGCAACTAAAATGAAAGTTCCAAATTAAATTTATAGATTAAAATGGCTTTTGTAAATCTATTTTCCTAATATGAATGAATTGCATGAGTGAAACTGGTTTAGCAGTACCATTAATCAGGTCTTTTGTCTTGCTAATATAGATCAGTCAATAACAACAGATGGGCTGTACATTTTATTATGTGAAAATAAAGATGAATGGGACATATTGCAGAAGTAAACTTGCAGCTCAAACTTACTGGGCAAAAAAGGGGATTTGTTTTAGCAGGGAAGAAGTGTGTGAACTTCATATGAGGATTTGTGCTTGAGCAAGGCAGAAAAGGAAATTGCTGCATGTGACGGTGACTTAATGGTTGGAAATCAAGCACGTGAATTTCTAGTGTTTATTTGTGTCTACACAGATAAGTTTAAGTTAGTTCAGTTTGTGTTTTCTCTCTGCAGGCAGAAGAACGGTTTAACTCCTTAGATTTGAGTTAAAAAAGAGATATATAAAGTTTACCGCTTTGTTACATTGCCAGGAGATAAGAATTTTAAATAGCCAGTGATAACCCTCAAGAAGATTCAGATCGAAGTCTCAGGCAAGATTTATCCCCTTGCACAGAGGTGGAGTGCACAGAGAGAGCTGACTGCCATCTAAATTATAGAAATAGGTGCACTGGGGCACACAGTTATAACATGGTGACCCCTAAAAAGCCAAGTCAGAGCTGGTCGTCTTGAGGAAAGAGAAATGACCTGTGTTTAACTGGAGCTGATCAGGAGAAATTCGGAGGGAAGTGTTTAATTGGTAGAAAATGTGGCTTCATGAAAATAGATTCATGAAATTGCTTCAGTTTTACTAAAAGTTTGGTTGGCAGTGAGTTGCAAACAATCTCAGCAAGGTCAAATTGTCCTGCATTGACACTTTCGAATGTAAATATCTAGGTTTGATTTTTAAGAATATTTTGTTATCTAATTATGCTATCACAATTATGCTTTCATGTTACTGTAAGCATTGCAATAAAAACATAACAATACATCATTATAATAAAAATTTAAATGGAAGACTTGGATGTAAAATGTGTGATACGGTTGATGGTTTGATTTTTTTTTACTTAAAAAAATTTTTAAAATTTTTTTATTTTGTGGAGAATTTGAGCATTCAAAAGGGTATCCCAGATCAGCAGCCAAATTGGCCTACAGTCCTCAAGGCATGCTGCAGCTGTACCTATGGAGGTGGTCAAGCGAACGATGGGATTTCTCTCCTCTCAGTTCGCTCATCTAGGGAGCTGTGCAGATTGGTTCGGTCTATCCTGCAAGGCTGCGCTGGGTTTTGTCTGCCGTAGGGACCCCATCCCACCACTTGTGACAGAAGTGCAGAGTGAGGTCCAACTGGGAGTCAGGCGGGCTGCTAAAGCTGACTGTTACCCTGTAGCTGGGAACAGCATGGCTTAGAGACCCTTATTGCTAATGGGGATAAGACTAGCTTTGTGATACTTTTTTTTTTTTTTTTTCTTTAGAACAAAGAAAAGTTTA